TTCAGTCTCTGAGATCCCTTTGAGGCAATTCAATATTTTTTGCCAGGAAGTGCCTTGAAATGCAGCCCTCCCACATGGATGGGTGGCTTTGCGTCAATCAGGGAGCATGTGGTACAGTCACGGGGTCAGGAAGCGCCAATGGGATCTGGATGGCAGTGGATGCTGGCCCTTCCTCTCTTTACTTCTTCCGAGACCTGTGGTAGTCACTGGGGCACAAAGCGGAACAAGACGCACACATCCTCACCCTCATGGATCTTACAGAAGCTCGGTGAAATAAGCAGGCCCAGCTGGGTCATGTGAGGGTTATCCTGGGTGCAGGTGCTGTGAGTACCCATAGCAGGGAACCTTCGTGAAACCAAGAAGTTAGGGAAGGCCTCCTGGAGGAAGTGACATCTAAGCTGAGACCAAAGGATGAGTAGGAGTTGCCAGAGGAACAGTGAAGGGGGGAGTTGTTCCAGGCAGGGGAACAGCCTGTGCAATGGCTCAGAGGGACAAGAGAGATCAACTTGAGGACGTAAAAAAAATGTGTGGCCAAAGGCATAGCGGTGGGGGCTGGGTAGCAAGACTGGGGGAACAGGGGCGCCTGTGTGGCTCAGTCATTAGGTGTCTGCCTTCGGCTCAGGTCATGATCCCAGGGTGCTGGGATCGAGCTCCGCATCCGGCTCCCTGCCCAGCGGGAAGCCTGCTTCTCCCTCTCCCACTCCCCCTGCTTGTGTTCCCTCTCTCGCTGTGTCTCTCTCTGTCAAATAAATAAAATCTTAAAAAAAAAAGACTGGGGGAACAATATCAAGAGAGGCAAGGCTGCAGCCAGCAGGCCAACTGAAGTCCTCCAGGAAAACAAAGACACTGACCGTGCCCTTGGTTCCTACAATTGTGCAAAAGTCCTGTGCCAACAGGTCCAGGTTACCCAGGTTGGACTGCTGGGCTTAAGAGGTACACGAAAGACTGGTTGATCCAGATCATCTAGCAAATATCTGGTGCTCAACAATGTTAATATTCTCACCATTTACTTCCTCGTCCGCTGAAGCCATCACCGGCGTATCTGAGCCATGAGAGCTCCCAAGCGTCAGCATATCTCAGAGAAACTACAAAGCCCTTCTTTCCACCTCCACTCAGCGAGAATTCCAGATAAACCCAGACAGCTGGGTGGCCGTCATCCCGTCGGCAGAGAGAGCAAATGGAGAGTGGCGAGCTAGATAACTGAAAGGCTGTTTCTCCCCGGTTAAGGGAATGTTTTCAAGCCTTTAACACCATCCTGAGGTTATTGACAAGTCATTTCTACTTGTCAAGGAACAACATACTTCTTTTTCCTGATTGCTGTATCAATCAGGATGGGCTAGGTTATGTTGCAATAACAAGTAACCTTGAACTTTCCCTGGCTTAAGACCACAAAGGTTTGTTTCTTCCACACAAGTCAGCGGGAGCTTTTTCCATGGCTGGAGGCTCTGTTGCCATCATCGGAGACCCAAAATAATGAAGCGGCCACTTTCTGGAAAGCTAGAGGTGCTGAGCCAGAAGGACTAAAAGTTCTGAAGAGTCTCTCAGCAATTCAGTGGTTGAATCTAGTGATACACATTCTTGCACTCTCACCTCGCTGGCCAAAACTAGTCATGTGGCCCCCGTCCACCCCAAGGGGGCAGGAAGAGCAACCCTCCTCTGTGCCTGGGGGTAGCCAGCCGGAAATATGCAGGGAGAGTGACTACCCCAGTCTCCCCAGACCTGAAACTAACAAATTTCCCTTTCTGTCCAAGTCTGAGATTCAGACGTCTTGCTGGTCTGGTATCAGTTAATAGGGATTCATGAGTTTTGACCTTGCCAAGTTCAAAAGCAATTTATAGGAGAAAAGCTACCTCAACTTGAATGGCTTCTATTAGTGTAGGGGGAAAATTATGCAAATTCCAAATTATTCTTATCTGCTTAATGGCACCCTAACATTTCTTCACCCTACTTTCCTGAAAACCAAGAAGACTACATTTCTTTATACATATCTTATAATTCCACAGTCTCGCTTGGGTCTCCAGTAACAAAAGTGGATAGAAATAGGATGTTTCAAACCCTTTGGAAACATCTACTGCATGATCATAGGTTCTGTTTACCGAGAGCTGGCTATGAGCCATGGAGAAAACTGAGGCCCAGAGAAGTTAAGCAACTTGCCCGAAGCCACACAGCCAGAAATCTCCATGCTATATTCTGCTTCTGTATTGGTGGTAAAACAAACAAAGAAACAAACAAAAAACAAACACATACACACACACAAGATGCTCATTGCAAATAATTCTACTCTGTCCTTTGAGGGCAAGAGATCCCTTGGATTTAAGAGAGGGGCCTCTCTTCCATCAGTTTGGGGAGATTAGGATCTCCCATTGGTCCAGCTAGTGGAGTTTGCAGTCAATTTAAGAGAGTCAGCCTGGTGTTAGATCTTTTCTTAAATCCCAACAGCTGAAACATTCTTTCTCCGGGAAAGCACCTGACTAAGCAGAACTGAATGGGGTACGAGTGGTCCCCGGAGCTCTTGCAGACATAGGAACAGCAGGGCATGTACACACACACACACACACACGCACACACACACACACGCGTGCACGCGAGCAGCTCCCAGGAGCCTATTATTCAGCCTCACCCTGGAAATTCCCAGCCATTCATTTCTTTGTTTTTCTGCCTGGCCTCACCCAAAAGGGAATGTACAGAGAGCACAGGGGAGGGGAAGGGGACTTGTGGCAAAGAAAGGGCACAGAGTGAGGAGCCTGTAGGTAGCTACCGCCCACAGGACCCTGCGAGCCTTGAGGGGGATGGAGTGGGCTGGCCTGGTGCAGGGGCAGGGCTGCGGTCGGGGCGGGTGGGGGGGAAGGGGGAAGGGGGGGGCCTCTAAAACTTTGGCTAGGTGCCAAATCCCTAATTTGGAGGGCAGTCAATGCAGGGCAAAGGAGGCAGCCAGGAGAGGAAGTGGTGGGTGGGGGCAGGGACAGCAGCTTAAAGGTGCAGCCCCCCAGCCCTCCCACCCCTGGAGTCTGGATCCAGTAGCTCTGAAGTGGGATCGGGCATCTATACTTTTAAAAATCTGTGGCTCATACTTTCGGAAACAGTGGCTAAGATTCAAGTGCTGGAGAAAGAGTCCAGGTCACATGCCGTCTCTGCTGTGTGACCCTGGGCAAATCACGTGTGCTTTGAGAGCCTTACTTTCCTCACCTGTAAGATGGGGACGTTCTATGCAAAGAACTTAGCGCACTGCCTGGCACTTGGTAAACATTAAATAAGCTTTGGCTGTTATTATCCACCATCATGGCTCAGAGACCTGACAAGCCCAATCGGAGATTTCTGAGTCTCCAGCAAACTCTGCTTGAATCTGGGTACCACCTGAGCTGGAGTGTAGCTCCATAAGCGAGAGAACACAGAACATTCCAGGATCTCTGGGGAACTGCTCTGGCCTGAGCCCGAATACAGGTTTCTCCCACCCTCCATCCTCTTGGGGAGCATGAGGAGTTCCTCACCTAAGGATGTGATTTAAAAAATCAAACAAAGCAGGGACACCTAGTTCCATTGCCAAGCCTCTACTGGTGTTCCGTGTTGCAGGAAGGATGGGGTTCAGGGAGAGGCTGAAGACCTGTGACCTCGTCTCTGAGCTCCTCATTGGGGGTGGGAATGGGCAAAAGCAGGGGGAAATGGGTTGGAGGGGGCACAGGGAGCGTGGCTCGCTGCTGAAGGAAGTACTAGAATTTATAGCTTGCGAAGGGGCAGCAAACTCAGACTCCCACAGGAACCTCAAACCCAAGTGTCTATAGGGTTTGGCAGGTAGTGAAATGAAGAAGGAAGCCAGCAGGGTAGAAGCGAAGTCATGTGCCCATCGTGATCTGTTTTTCCTTGTCCTCCTTTTGGTGGAGACTCGGGCTGGGACAAAAATATCCTTGCTTTGAGACAAACGAGAGAAGGGCAATCATAAATGGCATGGCCTGACGTGGCCACAGGCTCCAGGAGCACGAGGGGGTGGAGGGGATGCTAGAGGATGTGGGGGGGCAGGGTGTCTCACCCTGGCCTCGCCCCATCTCCAGAGGCAGCCGCTGCTTGGGGCCCACCCAGCCCCTGTCCGACTGCAGGTCACACACCTAGTGGGGCCAGAAGACCTTCCCAGTCACCGAAGAGTGGGTTTGTGTGTGTAATTTCCTGATTTTTAAATGCTGTCTCTGATTTTTAAAAATTCCGTGTATACATCAAACCTAAACTGCCATTGGTTGTGAGACATTCTGATATTTAATAAACAACCAGTAAAGAAAACAAGACCTGTCGATTAAACTATGACAAGCCATTGATTGTAAGACAAACCCCAATCCCAAAGATATCACAATGTGGAAAAAATGCGCACCTTCGGATCCATGAAATACCGTGTAATAAGAGGCTGGACTTGGTCTGTGGCACCTGGTGCAGTTCCCAACCTGCACAACTGTACATGGCAGCTCTTGGGATGCCACCCTGGGACACTGGAGGGCTTAGGGACCACGAGGAGGTTTGTGTTTGGGTCATATCTCTGAACACCCAAGTCCCTTGAGAAATAATCGCTTTTGATCTTAATCTGGACCAGCGGTGAGTCAAGGCAGCAAAGAGGAAAATGTGGCCCAGTTCGCTCCCATGGGTCATCAGATCACTAATGGTGATACCAAGGCCCCTGAGATGGTGGTTTAGTAGTCATGGGGAAGGGTGGGGTGGCTGTATGAGGGATTCTGATTCCTGCCACCGATGGGAACCACTAGGAGAAATCTCACATCTGATTTTATACAGGCTCAGAGAGGTAAAGGCCCTGCTCAGTGTCACACAGCTGGGCAGAACAGAGCCAGGCCAGGGGCTCAATCCCCCTCACCCCCATCCCCAGTGCTGCTTCTCCTGCTGACTGTAGAAGTTCCTGCCACTCTGCCCCAGGCAGGCTGGACCCAGAGATTCTTGGCCCCCTCCCCTGTTCCATTGCCCCTGAGGCTCCAGTTGCTGAGCCTGCCCTAGAAAAAGCTACGTTATTCGATTCACAAGACTTTTCCATTTTATTAGTAAAATACAAAATGGCACAGACATTGGTGATAGGGTTGGAAAAGCAAAAGGATCAACCAACTCCTTCCAAAGTTCCCCCCAAATTGTCCTTGTCCGTGTCCTGCTTGGGAGAACTAATCAAATCCGTGGAAGGGGGACTAGCTGCTCCCAGCTAATTGCTCACAAAAGTAGGGGAGCTCCACCCATTGAAGGGTCTCCCACCAGCCTCGAGGAACCCCCAAAAGTGCATTCAGACCGGCTGCCTGCCCTCTGAGCCGTCAGAGTGCCCCCCACTAGAGCCAGGCCCCAACATCCCAGGTCATGTCCAGCAGGGGGTGCAGGAGGGCTGGGTGGACTCGGGTGGCTGCCCCCTCTCTGTGGACCAGAGCTGTGTCTGCTTCCTCTGAGCATCTATCTGACAAGTGGAGTGTCTCACCCACCCTGGTCCGTGGGAGGCTCCCCAGGTGGAGGAAGGCAAGGGTCACCTACGGGGACCTTTGAGGAAGGTGGGGAGCTGCCATCAGGGACCCTGAGGGGTGAGGCCAGCAGCCAAAAAGGGAACCCCTGACTTTGTGCCCACAACTTCCCTCCCCATAGGACGGAGTCTCTTTCAGAGGTAAACACGAAACCTCAAGTTTCAAAGGTGGATTCTGATCTCATGGAAAATGTCCTGGAAATCCCTAGCCCTGCCAGTGGTGGGCAGGAAGGTGAGGGAAGATCCTGGAATGGGGACAGCAGTGTTTTTAGGGAGCGAGAGACGGGGCAGCGGGGGAAGCCAGGCTGCAGGAAAGAAAACAGCAAACGCCCGGGGCCCAAGTCCCTGACTCGGGCATGGAGCTGCTCCCAGCAGCCTCCCCACCCCCGGGTTCCTTTCCCTGAGCACCTCAGCCTTCCCAGGAGCCTGCAGGCCTTCCCTCCTCCTCAGCCTGTCCCACAGGCTGTCTCCACGTCCCTGCGAGCCTGGTGGACTCTGGGAGGGCTGCCCTCCAAGCCAGGCACCGGCCTGCCCCTCAAGCACCCCCCAGTCCCCACTCAGGGGGCCCACAGAGCTGACTCCCTCCCACGGAGCAGGACCTGAGCTTTCAGATCCCTTCCTTGACACACCCCCCCCCACCCCCTGAAGGCACAGGGCCCACCGATGTGCCAGGGTCCCCGATGGGTGAAGCCCGGCTAGGGTATTCTGTGGTGAGGCTACACCCCCGGTCTGGGAACGGGGGTCTCTGGATCAATGAGTGATGCCCATCAGTGTACAAGTTATCGTCACACATTTGCCACGTCTCCTTCCTTCCACAGACGGAGAACCAGAGGTACGAATGTGCTGCTGGGCTGGTGGTGGACCTGGGCCGAGAACCCCAGCCTTCACACCCACAGCCAAGGTTCCGCCAACGCACGGCATCGACTGGGGAGAAGAAAAACCATCCAAGCCACCGGGTCACTTCATGTCCCCTTCCCACGATGCCTAACGGAGGGCAGAGCCTTCCCGGGAGCAGTCCCAGGGAACGCCACACTAGGCTCATGCAAGAAAAGACACGTCCCCGGCTGGGTGTGGGCTCTGTACAGGGGACGGGGGAGATGGCACCGCAGGTGGCCGGGGTGACTGGCGACTGCAGCAGGACCGAGAGACACGATGAGGTCCGAGGGAGCGGGCAGAGGGGGCCTGGCCTGAGGCTCATTTGTGACATGGGGATGTGACCCAGAGGGGCTGGGCATTTTCTAATAAATAATTGTTCATCGGGTCTGGGACTGTGTCAAAGGGAACCTCTCACCAGCCAGCGGCAGAAGTTTCCTGACTTGGGGACATTGGGGTGAGTTGCAGAGGCCACCACTTCTGTCCCCAGGGGGTCAACAGCGATCCAGGGTGGCCTCCTGGCGTCTGCCCGGGAGCCGGGAGCCGGGAGCCGTTGCGGGTGGAAAAGCCTGCCTCCTCGCTCTGATCACCCCAGCTCAGGTCAGGCCCTTGGGTGAGGGTGGGTGTGAGGGCGGGGGACCCCAGGCAGCTGTCGGAGCCGAACAGCTGGAGGCAGGCAGGGGGCCAGCTCACACTGGCACCAGGACATAGGAGTTGCTGCCACAGCTCCGGGGGACGTAGCGAAGCCCCTCCACCATGTCCCCGGCTAGCTTGCGGGGACAGCCCTGGAGGCTCTGATAGGCAAACATGGCCACGCCCAGGCAGAAGAGGAGGCCAAGGAAGGCCAACAGCCCCACCGCCTGCCTCCGGGTAGCTGCCTGCGAGTCGGGGACGGGAGTGATGAGGACACCCAGCCTCTGGGGGTCCACGGTGGCGTGGATGGGCTCCTCCGCCTTGGAGGTCCAGCTGCCTGAGGCCGCTGGCTCCCTGCTGGGGACCCTTTGAGAGGAGACAGGGACCGTGGAGAGACGGGGCGTGCCGTCAGGCCCCCCGAAAGTATCCGTGTGAGCTGAGGTGGGATCCATCTCCTCAGGCCCTAGAGAGTTCTCTGGCATGGGATTGTCTCCTGTGATCCACACCGGTTGGCCTTCAGGGCCAACACTGTCCTCTGAGGCTGTGTGTGAAACGGTGGGGGTGTGGGTAGGGGGGGCCTGGGTAGGGAGGGTCTGGGTGGAGG